ACAACTCCAAAAGACTCAAGATATAATCACGACATAACAATACTATGTGTCATGGATAATCCTCATGCTCACCAAATAAACATAGTAAACAACCAGTCTCAACATAAAACTCCATAAACATAAACTGAAGCTATAGGCATAAGCAGCATGCATATCCAACTTCCAATCATAGCAGCATAAAATAACAGCAATCTAACTCAGCTCCGGCCTCCTGCCGCCTGAGGTCTCAACATTACCTGACCCTGAAATAAGCATTCCCCAAATGTGGGGTGAGATCTCTAAACTAGAAATCTCAGTAAGACAAGGGGTCCTCAAGGATCTTCCACCCCAAGCTCACTTACATGTGCAATATAAGTTCTAAAAGCATTTATATCATTATCAGTTCCAAAACTATGTAGTGCAACAGATATCTATGGCATGTGTGTTTATCACTATCTACTGGCCAGAGAAATGTAGGAATACGTCTATTCCCTACATGTAGTACAAGGAACACCGCTTGCACCTCACCCACAGTCTCACCCTCTTGTATGTTCTACATACTCAGGCTTACCATATAGGTGGAACACCTCCATGCATATCAACAAGGCACTAACATACAATAGCTCAACAACATTTCCAAAATATCAAAAGCATGTAACACAGCATGCATATACCATACCCCCATGGGACATGGTGGAACCACAACATGGCTAAACCGAGTACACGAAAGCTTACCTCTAAGCTAGCTATCCAATGCCACAAGCTCAAAGTCCAATCGCAGCAGATCACAATATGATATGGACCAAATATAAATCAATAAACATGTACCACATGCATACAAATTAAAGAACACGCCTTTTCATTACGTTTTAATGTCTTAAAGCTTCTAACAAAGCCACAAGCCCTTAATCACATGATTCTGACTTAGTCCATTAAATACAGTAGTTCAACTTCATCAAACTAGGGTCCACAAACCCCTAATAGCCTACTGTACACACAACACAGCTACTGTTCTGCGAAATCCCAGAATATCCGGATATTCCTCGGGACCATATCCGGATATGCGATATCCGGATATCTCACTGTCCATATCCGGATATTCAATATCCAGATATACAGATTCACATATCCAGATATCCAATATCCAGATATCCAAAACCCCATATCCGGATACCACATATCCGGATATCATATCCGGATATCCAATATCCGGATATTCCACGGGCAGATATCTGGATATTTCACGACAGAATGCGGTTTCTGCATTTCGTGAAGATATCCTTCAAGGTTGGGTTTTTACTGATTTTAAACACTTAAACATGCATTTCTAGGTGTGTTCAACGTTACCCAACAACAAGTTATCATCTTTTAGTCATTAGATGCATCAAGGTACCATTTTTAAGCCTTAAAACTCAAGTTAAAGGTTGGTACAACATACCAAGGCTCAAAACTCAGAATGGAGATGCTCTTAGAGCTCACCAACAGCTCCAACACCTCTGACTTCCAAGGAATACGAAAATGGCTCAACAAGAAGAGTTCTTTCTTCCCCAACGGTGATACTTTGTAGCTCAAATGCCTTAACAAAGGCTCAACCAACTCAAGCTCACCAACTCATCCTACTCCCCTCAAACACAATAGCTGGAACACCAAGACAAGCTATCTCTCACCCTCACCAAGCCACCCACAAGTGTTTACAAGGAGGAAATGTGAAGAAAATCAAGAAAGATCACAACTTGGCTCAAGAAATGGAAGGGAAAACCAATGGAACAGTAACCAGCAAATGGTCAGCCCCAAACTCACGTAGAGAAATCTGATCCTAGGGTTTTGTGCCCATAATAAGAGTATTTATAGCCTAAACACACTTAAACACACAGTATTAACTTTAATTGTTACGCTTAGAATTTTAATCCCAAACTTTGGATTATAAAACTACACATTTTTCCAAGAATTATCATATTTTTATTATATTTTTCTGAGCACCTTTCCGGTACGCGCTTTTCAAAGCCAGTGCCGGTTTCTAGCACCAGTTCTCATTATTTGGACTTGAAACTCGTTTTACAAGTCCTACATATCATTCTAGTAATTATCATGCACTTACTTTAATTTTCTGGGATACTTTTTCGGCACGCATTTATACCGACTAGCGGAACCGGTATCTGCACTTTTCTTCCGAAAAACGACTTTCAGCATTCTAACCCACTTATTATAATTATTAAGCCTCATAAATAGTTATTAGGATCAATTATGGAATCATTTCCTAATTTTGCATAATTAATTAATTAAATACCTTAATTAACGGTGCGGGTTCTTACACAGCGTTTTACAAAGGTTATAACAAAAATACTTAAATGCCCCTAACTAATATGCATAACAGAATATAAAATAAGGCTACTTATGGAAATACTCAATGCATATATAACAATATCCTATATGAAAATATTAAAAAACAAACCACCAATCATCAAAGATTCAAAATATACTTAACATAATTCACCAATTACATCTACAAGTCAATATTACACAACCTAATTAAAGTATCAAGATACCAAAGTACAAAACTCATATTCTAATGGGGTCATTACGGTGACCCGGTTTTGCCTCTTTTGATAAGGTCTCTGACAAAGAAAAATTTAAAGGAAGTAAGAATGAGTTTTTGTTTTCCATCAACAGCTGTAAGGTTTCATTTGAATGGGAAAAAATTCTTACCTTTTCTAGAACATTCACGGCAGCGAGGTGAAGATTGAAGACGTCTAGGTCACTGGGAGAGAAGAGAACGATTAGATTTAGGTTTGTAAGCATTTTTATTTTATTTTTTTAATAAAACGACATTGTTTCAGGGAATTTTTTTTAAAAAAAAACATGCAGTGACCCCCTTTGACCCCTCTGACTCGGGAGTCACTAAAACCCGATCGAGTTTTGGGGGTCGGAGGGGACGATGTGCATATATGGTCCAACTTGTGACCCCAACCCTCATAGGGGAGGGGTTAGGGTTGACCCGGGTCAACCCGGGAGTGGAATGGGGTTTTAAAACACTGATATTATATTATAAGTTCAAACCTTATAACTATCATTATATTTAGAAAAGAAAAAAAAATCAACTACACTTGAATCTTTGTTTCCATATTAACCACACTTAAACAAATACATAAAATATGACTTAGGATATTATCTATTTGTTGATCAATTCTTCAATTAGTTCGATCCAAGTTGGGTAGCTTGTTTTAACATTGTTATATTTATAATGACTTGAACTTGACACCACTGATTAATTTAGAATAATTTCTTATTAATTGATCCATATTTGGTGGTATAAACATGTTTTATATCCTCATGAATGCAAATTATGTTCACCAAAATTTTAATTTTAGTTTATTTATTTTTGAAAAAAAAATTGCAGATTAATATATAGGATCAACCTATAATACAATATGATAATAATATGGGTCTAATATCTTTCGTGTTATAGTATATAAAAATATTTCTTACATATATATAAAAAATATATGAGACTCGCATGAGATTATGTGAAAAAAAAAGAAAAGAAAAATATGCGATCTATATATTTTTATGAGTGTATAAAAAATAAAAATTTTCTCCTATAAAAAATGACACATTAATGCCATAATTATACTATTTTTCCAAACTCATACGCAATCTATTTTATTTCACAATTGACACGGCACGTGTTTTTACGCATCATATAATGGATGATGATACCTTTTAAGGTTTTATAAGAGTTATGTCGTTGGAAAAGTGATTGTGTAATGTTATAGAGATTCGTTTTGCGTGTAGTAATTTCTTTTTTTTCTTTTTTTTTTTTCTTCAAAAAGTGTGAGTCCCACAAAAAATATTATGTAAGTAAAAAAATTTATTATGTCATGTTAAATGACAAATACAAACTCCAACATTTTATAACTTCTATTTGACCCAAGTTATTTTTTATGGACTGTTTGAGGAGAAAAAAATAAAATAAAATACTTTTGACTTAAATACAAAAAAAAAAAATATTGTAATTTTTGGTTGTATATGGTGATGCCACATGGACTGAAAGAGAGATGAAAGTACCGAGCATCAACACACACGTGGCACAAAAATAGAGGGCCGTATTTGCTCTAGTCTCTACCACACAAAATTCATATTCTACGAATATCGTTATCTTCATGCTGATTTTTTTTTATGTGTATTTTGTTGTGGCCACAGGAAATTCTTCCTCTAGACCATTTTTAAATTCCAACAGGGAATGGAACAACAAAACGGAGTTATTTTTATCTTTATGGCCGTTTCCTAAATGGATAAATTTTATATTTTTATGAAACTCATATTAATAATTTTAGTTATCTATATTTAGTACAAAGATTTTATTTTTTTTTGAAAAAGTAAAATTTCTGAAAATTAAAATTATAAATAAAATTTTCATAATTTTTTTTACATAATTTATACGATATAAATAACCTGAATTAATATTTTCATGATTAAAGTATTTTCTCTGATTTGAAAAAACTGGTTTGAGAATGATCAAATTGTTTAGGAAATTTGAATTTAATCTCGTTTTGACATTTTAATGACATATGAGAAAAAAATTTCAAAAATTTAAGAAAAGTTATTTTTATAAAATCAATTAAACGTTCTCAAAATTATTAATAATTAACCAAAATCAACATTGTTAAAAATATTTTAATCTATTAAACAATTTTTTTTTAACAATTGACAAAAAAATCACTTTTTCAATATATTCTTGAAAATCGTGATACGTGATAACAAAAAATTTTGAGAGTAGATCCTCTCATGTGAAAAAGTGGTCATATGATCATGTTTTTATTTATCACAATCACTTATTCATGATGAGATAAGAAAAAGAAAAATATATTTTTTAAATGAGTAATTGTGATAAAAAAATATGAGCACGTGTGTCCAATTTTTCAAGAATCCATTTCCAAAAATTTGTAGTCGGCCAAACGTCCTTGTTTTAAGTTATTTTCTAGCTAGAAAAATTTGTAATACAATTAACAAATTGAACTAAGCATATTTACGTGTAGTGAAGAAAATTAAGGGAAACTGAAACCCCAGTTGTGGGGGAGAGAAGTTGAAGCTGAAGCTGAAGCTGTGGTATGCGTATCCATTGAACGACAATGGACTTGGCCGCGAAGCTTCATCACCTGGACCTCACCGGCGCTGTCATTTTGGATGCACGAAAACCCTCTATACGACCTCCACGCACGCTGTCGTTTACTCAAACCGCCAGAGGGAACAACATCAACATCCACACTAACACTAATTTAGTTTCCACCAATCGATTCTTTGGCCCCAAAAGACCCAATTCTCGTTTATCCGCTGTGGCCGTCGACGACGACACGTCACTGACCGAAGACGACATCGAGTCTCTGTTTTCCGACTCTTCGGCCGATAAACGACAAGTAAACAAGCAAACGAATACAGGCGCTTCGAGCGTTTCATCAGGTGTGAAGTTAGAAAACGTGAGCAAAACCTATAAGGGTGTGACTGTGTTGAAAGATGTGAGTTGGGAAGTGAAGAAGGGAGAGAAAGTGGGTTTGGTTGGCGTAAACGGTGCGGGTAAAACGACCCAGATGAGGATTATTGCGGGTCTGGAAGACCCGGATTCGGGAAACGTGATAAAGGCCAAACCTAATATGAAGATTGCGTTTTTGAGCCAAGAGTTTGAGGTGTCACTGAGCAGGACGGTGAGGGAGGAGTTTATGAATGCGTTCAAAGAGGAAATGGAGATAGCTGGGAAATTGGAGAAGGTGCAGAAGGCGCTTGAGGGTGCTGTTAACAATTTGGAATTGATGGGAAGGCTTTTGGATGAGCTTGATTTGCTTCAGAGACGAGCTCAGTCTGTGGAATTGGATGAGGTTGATGCAAAGATAAGTAAATTGATGCCTGAACTTGGGTTTGCTTCTGAGGATTCTGATAGGCTGGTAGCATCATTTAGTGGTGGATGGCAGATGAGGATGTGTCTTGGCAAAATTCTACTTCAGGTATATTACACGAAGTTATATGAGAGGATCTTAGCTGTCCAGATACTAATTAAGGATGATGATATTCGTCTGTCACCGTTAATTTATATCTGGATGAATGAGATCCTCTCACATGACTATCTCACATGAGAGGATCCATTTCCATTACATATTACACTATCTAGTGTAGATTGTGTTGCTTCCCAGATGAAATTTGTCTTATTGCTCTAATCTAGTGTAATAGTGCAAATGTTTTAAAAAAATTAGCTTACTGGTAGCCTGATAACTCGTTCTTAATTGCTTATTATTAACATTGTGCATATATAACCGATATTACTAGGCAATATGCATATTGGTAAATGTTTGACATAGATGATGTGGATTTGAATGTGTAAGTGTTGCTTATAAGAATGGCACTTCATTTGCAGGAACCAGATTTATTACTGTTGGATGAGCCTACAAATCATCTTGATCTTGACACCATTGAATGGCTTGAAGACTATCTTAACAAGCAGGACGTGCCGATGGTTATCATTTCCCATGACAGGGCTTTTCTTGATCAGCTGTGTACAAAAATTGTGGAAACTGAAATGGGTGTATCCAGGACATACGAGGGGAATTATTCTAAGTTTGTAATTTCAAAGGCAGAATGGATTGCAGCACAGTATGCTGCATGGGAGAAGCAGCAGAAAGAAATTGAACAGACGAAAGACTTGATAAGTAGGTTAGGCGCTGGAGCAAATTCTGGCCGTGCTTCAACTGCGGAGAAGGTAAATGTGATCAAATGTTCCAAAGCTGACAGTTCAATTAAGATATACTATTGCTTGTACAAAATGTGAACAAGCCAAAGCTACTTCTTAAATAGGTTTGCGAAGAACCAATTCTTCCAAATGCTTAAGGGTGAAGGTTCATGAATGGTTTTATATCCAACTTGACTCTCATGCAGCATCTTTTTGGGCTTGTAGCGTGCACAATGGACAAGCTCACTTTACCTTCGCTAAAATTCAACTTTTTGTTATTTAGAAAAATGGAAAGGCAAGGATCGAACTCCTCACCACTTAGTCATAGAGCCTTTGAAACCATGTCAAGAACTACCTTTTCCAAAAGTTTAAGTTGTTGGATGAGATTTTATGGCTTTGGATTCTTTAGAGCTTAATAATTACAAAATAGAAAGAAAGAGTGAAAGAAAAAGATATGTTTATTACTTATTGATGAGAAAAACAAATGAACATACAAGAGACACTTCTCTTGCCAAGGGTACTCCCCTTCTCTGAACCTAATCTAATATTTGTCTAAAGCTACTACTAAACAAAAGCCCGTTCCCTTATATAGTTGGGGAAGCTAACAACTCGTAACTGCCTATCCTATCAACTAACTAATCACTTGATATATTCTCTGAAGGGAATATCCTTTCCCTCCTAATACAAATCGTATCAATAGGAGGAAAAAGATATTCCCTCCTAATACAAATCATATCATTAGGGCTCATGAATGGTTTTATATCTAATAATGTTTAAGTGACCTTAAATAATAGTCACCTAAGATGACTAAAAAATGTGGTGATTGTGTTAATTATTGTAAATTTTAATGTTTTGTTGTTCTTGTTCCTTATGTTATTTGCTTAGAAGTGTTTCCTTATTTATATATGACAACAGAAGCTGGAGAGGCTTCAGGAAGAGGAACTAGTAGAGAAGCCATTTGAACGGAAACAAATGAAAATCAGGTTCCCTGAGCGTGGGAGGAGTGGAAGATTTGTTGTGACAATTAATAACTTGGAATTTGGCTTTGGGGATAAGGTGAGTTAGCATGCTCTTATTATTGAACAAAGTGAGTATTAAAATGTTTGTTTGTCTATATGTAATTCATAGTTTTAATGACGTCAACTGATCAAGTTTTTTTGTGCTAGATACTTTTCAACAAGGCAAATCTTACAATTGAAAGGGGAGAAAAGATTGCCATTATTGGTCCAAATGGATGTGGCAAGAGTACTTTACTGAAATTGATCATGGGTTTAGAGAAGCCAATTAGGGGTGAAGTTGTGGTTGGGGAGCATAATGTATTACCGAACTATTTTGAGCAAAATCAGGTGTGCCACTTTAACCAAGGAATTGCTAATTGCAAATTTGCAATTAAATTGTTATAGTTCTTTCCGTTCCATTTCTTAATGTCAAAACTTTTGTCTAGTTAACATATTTTAAGTTCTAACTTGATTTATTTAACAGGCAGAAGCACTTGATCTGGACAAGACAGTGCTTCAGACAGTAGAAGAAGCTGCCGAGGACTGGAGGATTGATGATATTAAAGGACTTCTTGGGCGTTGTAATTTCAAATCTGATATGCTTGACCGAAAAGTTTCCCTGTTGAGTGGTGGTGAGAAGGTAAATTCAAGATCTGAGTTTTCTTTTTCAGTTGAACATTCAGTTAGCATTTGTTAGCTATGTAAACATTAAGTTCCAGCTTAATTTTATGATTGAATGATTCATTTCTCAAAATCAAGTTTGTAATTCATATATAATTAGATTACTGAGAATTACTTCATTACCTGCAGATTTGAGTGAATTTTCTGTTGAATGTGATAGAAAATCTCGTACTTTCCTTTGAAGGGTGGTTATTGTTTGAGTAAAAGCTTTAAGATGATAATTGTCTTTAAAGAAATTTATGAAACTAGAAGAATTAAAATTGCTAAAATGATAATATGATATTCAGATGTATACTCCCAAGGTTTTTTCTTTTTTCGTTAATGTATTTCATAATTTTGAGATGTATTCATTGTCATGCTTTGTAGCATCAAGAATAAATATACATGAATGATTCTAATTCTTGTTGAGCCTGATTTTTTCCTGACATATATATATATAATATTTTAATTAAACTCTTGTTACATTCTCTCATCTTTCTCTTTGGATGTAACAATAGCTTCACTAGTTTCATTGCAATGCTCAACCCTTTGTCACTATCTGCGTAGGTGATGCATAAATATTTAGATTTATTTTGTCTCTACTGTTTTACAAGGCACGGCTGGCTTTTTGCAAATTCATGGTAAAACCATCAACTCTGCTTGTGTTGGATGAACCAACCAATCACTTGGATATACCTTCAAAAGAAATGCTTGAGGTTTGTCTCACTTTTCTGCTATGTTTCCCCTTTTTAAAGCTCACTATCATCCATCACCCTAATGATTTATAATTCTTCTACCAGGAAGCAATCACTGAGTACGAGGGCACTGTTATCACAGTTTCTCATGATCGATACTTTATAAAGCAGATAGTTAATAGAGTGATAGAAGTTAAAGATGGCACTTTACAGGATTATGCGGGCGATTACAATGTAAGTCAATTTATCTCCCCCCCCCCCCCCCCCCTCTCTCTCTCTCTTATGTGGGCCATTGAGTGTGATGTATACAATTTTTCTGTAAGATTTAGAATTTGTTGAAATGGGTTGATTGAACTTTATTCTTGAGGCAGTTCTTCCTAGGAACCCATTGATCATTGGTAAAATGTGTTCTTTTGTTAGATTCTTGTTTTAACTTTTATGGTAGGACTTGTATGAATCTGTTAGAGACATATAAAATCATTAATGTAGCCTTACATGCTAGTTTAAGCTTTTGGGTTGAATTGGTTCTTTACATAGTATGCCTTGGTGTTCCGGGTTCGATCCTCGTCGTCTCCCATTTTCTTTGTAGAATTTTTTAGCGCAGGTAGGCTGAACCTGATGCATTATCCACCTTTCAAGTCCAATGAATTCTCTTGTGAGGGGGCGTGTTACAGACATAAAATCACCCACTAGCTTAAGCTTTTGGGTTGAATTAGTTTTTTACAAAATTCTTGGCAGCATTTTGATGCTTAATATTTCTTTTGATGCATAATGATTTTGGATGCTTGACGCCACTCCTTTTGCCCCCTACTAGGGGATCTTGTTTATGTCTCATGTCTCATTTCTCACATCATATTTTAAAATTAGAGTAAAACTGTAAAAACCCTTTTGGTTCTTCACTTCATTTTGGTCCCTCAAAAGTCAAAATTATTTTTTCGTTTTAGTCCTTTCCAGGTGTACTTACTTTCAGTGATTGGGATTTTACTAATTACCTGGGTTTTAAACGAGAGTTTTTCATAAAGAAAAATTAAATAATAAATTAAACGGCCTTCTGGATCCTTTTGTCATTTAGTTGCAGTCCAAAATAAAACTGAGTATATCTGCGAGGGACCAAACTGATAGTGAATGCATAATAACTCAAGATCTGATTTAAGGGGGTCCGTGATAGTGTTTTACTCTTAAATATTATGTTTATATAATTTGAGTTTGCTTGATATGTGTTCCCTCTTTCTTCAAGGCTGTGTAAATGGGGTTATATCATTTTGAGGGCATAATTTACTATGTTTATGATAACTTTGTGATCATTTCCCGAAGCCAATATTTTCATTGAATGACTTAGACATATTGAATAATAATATTTTGGCTTCTTGTATAGCTGATTTAAATCTCATCCAATTTTGTATGTAATGAATATAGCATGATCAGCCATTGCATGGCTTATTATAGGTTTCTAACATGTTTGAATCTAAAATTTTGCAGTATTATTTAGAGAAGAATCTTGATGCTAGGGAAAGAGAGCTTGAACGCGAGGCAGAGCTTGAGGACAAAGCTCCTAAAGTGAAAGCCAAATCTAAGATGTCCAAGGTAAACTTTTTTAGTTCAACCCATATGAAAGGGTTGGTTAATGGCATTGGAGAACTTCCAGGATAGCTTATAAATTCCTTTTTTCTTTTTTGCAATAACAGGCTGAGAAAGAAGCACGGAAGAAGCAAAAGATGCAGAACTTTCAGGCAGCGAAACAGAAGTCTAAAGGTGTGAAAAATGCGAAGAGATGGAACTGAGTAATTCATTCCTTAACATCATAAGGGCTCCATCTTATACAAGTTTACCAAATGAGGAAGATAGAAGGCGAAGTAGTGAGTTAGCTACACTCAGCCTTTGTATATATCATGTATCAATGGACTGACTAATTTGGATAATTGACTGGAATATAGAATCTTGATTACAGCATTTGTGATTCCTGCTGAAGTTTACTGCAACTTGGACAGAGAAGAAAAATTAAAAGAAAAAATTGATTCGGTGAACCAGTAGAGTAGAGCATCATGGTATCTAAGTAAGGAAAAAGTTTTCTTAAAGTATGTCATTGAATGCAAAAGTAAAGGTGCATTTATTTTTAAATTTCAATGAGTTAAGATATACTTTAAATTAAAATAAGGGTAATTAATGTACCCAAAAAAAAAAGGGTAATTATGCTCACTAGTTATTTTTTAGATGTTAAAAGAATGTAAAATCGTTCGGGTTGTTTAATATAAGGGTTTTATTAGTCTCATTTAACATAAGATAATTATCTTATGTTGTAGAGAAAAAATAGGTGGGTCTTATCATTACAAAAAAAAAGGAAAAAAAAAAAGGTGGGGTATGGAAATCAAAGTGAGAAAAAATAAGAGATGATATCTCATGTAAAAAGTGAGTAATATTTCTCTTAATATAATTAACGAACCTGTAATTAATGATGTAAATTAATTTATAATAGAAATTATATGTTTCCCTTTTCAACCACATATATGCTCATGTAATCTTGTTACATGGACGATCGTATTCCATTCTTAAAATTTTTAGAAGCATGTGAATTCATCATCTGCATGCTGAGGCAAATAATGCATATTTCATCTTGTCACACTAAACCACAAGTCTTGAGGCAGGTAATCATTATCCTGTCATGTTTTCTTAATAATTTCTTTCTCACCTGTTTTAAACACCACTCTTTCATTTATAAAAAAAAAGTATTATTTATGAGAAGATTATACTTATAACTTTTTTTTTTACAATCTCTTACAATCATATTTTAACATCGTTGATTTCTGTCAATCAACGGTTATCATTTATTGTGAATTAATAATTAATTAATGAGTTTAATTTGTGAAAATCATAATTGTTAATTGACGAAAATTAACGGTGTTAAGATATAATTGTAAGAGGTTGTAAAAAAAAATTGTAAGTATAACCGACCTCATTATTTATTCACATTTCACATAAGATACAACTTTTGTACAAGAGAGAAAAAGAAAAGGAACTAAGCCCTCTCAGTCATTACATAAGAAAATATTAAAACTTTTCTTTTATCTCTCTTCAGTAAAATAATCATGTAATCTTGTTACAGAGAGCATCCTATCCCGTTCCTAAAATGTTAGAAACATGTGAGTTGATATCTGAGTAAAATAAAATTTTGAAACGAGCTTATTTATAAATATATAAATAAGAGTGTATATATTATTAATTTAGTTTAAATTGGATTATAATTTTATTTATCAAAATTTAAAAATATATATTTTTATTTATACATTAAATGGATAAATTCATTCAAGAGGACAACGCAAGTAATGTATAAAAAAATATTTTATTTATAAATTAAATAAGCAAGAAAATACTTAATTTTACAGTTTAATTGATTAAAACAAGATAAATTTTAAATTACATTAATTATAAAAACATTTTTGCTAATATTCTTTACAAATAATGTTTCTACTTTTGAGAGAAAACTTAAATGCTTGAAAGGTATGTAAAACTATAAACTAAAAATAATATTAAATAAACGCGTCATTTTTAATTTATATAATTTATCAAGTTGATTTATTTATTTACATTTTAATGTTATTACATATATTAGATGTGAAGAGATATGAACACCTATCTATCTATATATATATATATATATATATATATATATATATATATATATATATATATATATATATATATATATATATAAAGGAGAGTTCAATGTTGGAAACTCAGCTAATGTGTCACTCTCTGCTTAATTCTGAGTTTTCTGTTCACACTACATGGCACCGGCAAACTTTCTTTAGTAAATTGGAAAAAGTTTTTTCTTTTAAAATCGAAATTCACTTTTTTAAATTCGAAAAAAATAAAACAATTGTGGTGGACAAGTCATTGAATGTCTCACTGCTGTTCACATTGGAATTGATCGGCTGATTTAATTTGATTTTAAATTCAAATATATATATATATATATATATATATATATATATATAAAAGAGAGGTCAATGTTGGAAACTCAGCTGATGTGTCACTCTCTGCTTAATTCTGAGTTTTCTGTTCACACTACATGGCACCTGCAAACTTTCTTTTTTTAGTAAATTGGAAAAAGTTTTTTCTTTAAAAAATCGAAATTCACTTTTTAAATTCGAAAAAAATAAAACAATTGTGGTGGACAAGTCATTGAATGTCCCACTGCTGTTCACATTGGAATTGATCGGCTGATTTAATTTGATTTTAAATTCAAATTTTGAAATGGAATGACTCAGCTGTTTTAATTGCTTATTGCTCATCTGATCTAAAATTCAAATTTTGAATTTAAAATATGGATGGTGGGAAAAGATTTGGAGAGTTTTGGGTGGCATTCATTTTGTATAAATAGAGAAGTTGTGTTTCTTTTTTTTTTAGCTTGCCTACGATTTCTTTCTTCATTTCTGTTTGTAGGAGTTGTTGTGTTGGTTTTATTTTTTGTTTTCTTTGGCTTTTTCCGATTCGTTTCATATTTTAATGGAAGGTCCTTCTTCTGCAAACGTGCCAGGATTGAGGAAAGTGTTTGTTGATCTTTGCAATACTATCTTCTTATAAACAAGACGTAAATAATCTTTAAGATTCGTTTTCTTTTTTTATACTAATTATCTTTTATTCATTTTGTAGGGCTGAAGTTTTCATCGTATTTCATTATGTGTGGTTTTTGCCTACGTTTTTTTCCTTCATTCGTATGTGTAGCGGATGTTGTATGCTTATTATTTTTGTTTACCTTATAAACAAGTTGCTATGAATTCGTGTTCTGTTTTTTGTATACTAATTCTCTTTTTTTCGTTTTGTTGGGCTGAAGGTTTCGTCGTATTTCATGCTGTGTGGTTCTTGCCTACATTTTTTTTTCTTCGTTCATATGTGTAGCTAATGTTATATTATTATTATTTTTGTTTACTTTATAAACAAGTTGCTATGAATTAGTTTTCATTTTTTGTATACTAATTATCTTTTTTTCGTTTTGTAGGGCAGAAGGTTTCGTTGTGTTTCATGTTGTGTGGTTCTTGCCTACATTTTTTTTTTCTTCATTCATATGTGTAGCTAATGTTATATTATTATTATTTTTGTTTACTTTACAATGAAGTTGCTATGAATTAGTTTTCATTTTTTGTATACTAATTCTCTTTTTTTCGGTTTCCAGGGCAGAAGGTTTCATACTACTGTGATTAGTTATTTACGTAGTAAAAGCCTTGAATGCTGCTTAGTGCTTTCCTACAATTTTTTTTTTGCTACCCGATACAAAAATTGAATGGTAATCAATGGAATAAATGTCAACGGGTGAATAGTTTAAAATTTATCTTCATCGAGGGTCTTTCTTCCGCAAACGTCCCACTGATTTGTACATTGGAATTACTCAGCTCTTTTAAATGTTTTCTACATTGGAATTGCTCGCTCTTTTGAAATTCGAATTCTGAATTGATTTTAAATTTTAGATTTCAATTTTAAATTTCAAATTGTAATTGTGGGAAAGGATTTGGAAATAAAAAATTAAATAAATAATAGTTTCTTTTAAAAATTGAAATAAAAAATCAACGAAAAATTAAGTTAATCATTTATGGTGGCAGACAACTCATTCAATGTCCCACTGATTTGTACAATGGAATTACTCAGCTCTTTTAAATGCTTTCTACATTGGAATTGCTCACTTTTTTGAAATTCGAATTCTGAATTGATTTCAAATTTTGGATTTCAATTTTAAATTTCAAATTGGAATGGTGGGAAAGGATTTGGAAATAAAAAATTAAAAAAATAATAATTTCTTTTAAAAATCGAAATAAAAAATCAATGGAAAATTAAGTTAATCATTTATGGTGGCAGACAACTCATTCAATGTCCCACTGATTTGTACATTTGAATTACTCAGCTCTTTTAAATGCTTTCTACATTGGAATTGCTCACTCTTTTGAAATTCAAATTTTGAATTGATTTCAGATTTTTGATTTCAATTTTAAATTTCAAATTGGAATGGTAGGAAAAGATTTGAAAATAAAAAATTAAATAAATAATAATTTGTTTTAAAAATCGAAATAAAAAATCAATGAAAAATTAAGTTAATCATTTATTGTGGCAGACAACTCATTTAATGTCCCACTACTTTTTTGTTGTTCTATATTATAAGTAAAAAAGACCTCTACTTTTTTTTTATATATCCCACTATTTTTTTTATGGGTAATTGTTAGGGTTTAGGAATGTTGCATAAAAAAAACAAAAAACATTAAAAAAAATATATTGTAAAATAATAAAATTATTTATATTGTAAAATAAATTCAAAATTTGGAAATAAATTAAATAAAAAATTATGTAAACAATTTTTGGTGGCAGGCAACTGCATACTACTTTGGAATTTCCAAATTAATAATAACTCAACTCTTCTAAATTTTGAATTTATGTTTAAATTTGAATTTTAGATTTAAATTTTTAACTTTGTAATGATGGAAAAACTTTTAGAAAAATGACAACTCATTTAATGTCCCACTACTTTTCTTTTATTGTATATTATGAGTAAAAAGACCTATACTTTTCTTTTGTTGTATATCCATTATTTTTTACATGGATAATTGTTAGCCCTATTAATGCTGAATAAAAAAAAAAACAAAAACATTAAAAAAATTGTAAAATAACAAAAAAAATTATATATTAAAATAAATTTGAAATTTGAAAATAAATTAAATGAAAAATTATGTGAACTTGATATGTGAAAAAAGAGTTCAGCATTTAATATTTATGCAGTGAAAAAAGAGTTCAACATTTAATATTTATGCAGTGGAAAAAGATATATATAATAAATTTGAATTTAATATAAAATTGTAGATTAAGCAATAAAATATTTAAAATTATAAAAATACATTTATAGTCGATAAAAATTATTTAAAATTTAAAAGAAAAAAAGAAATGTAAAAATATATTTTTTACAAAAAATAAATTAAAATTTTAACATAAAAATTTTAAATATACATGTATAACCAATTAAAATAATATACATGTATTTTTTT